AAGAAAGAAAGAAAAAGAAAATGACATCCTTCTGTGCTGTGTCAGTAGATGCAACTATTGCATCGTTCCGACCTCAAGTCAATACCTAGAATTAAGAAAACTACTTAAAATATGTTTTCTGCTCTTATTTATTGAACTGTCTGGACTGTGAGCCGCAGCATCATGAGGTTAGTAGAGGAGTGGGCTGGAATGGAAACCGACCTGTGTCGTAGACACTGTCCTGCGCTTGGAATCCCGGAAGTGTTTGTATCCTGACCTAGGCTTGCCAAAGCTGTGCCTATTGACGCCAGAAAACTAGCCTGAAAGTCAGACCCTCAATCAACTGCCCTAGTTCTCGGCACTTCCTCATTGAAGAGTTCTGGTCTGGGATTGTAGAAGGACGATGGAAGGGCGTGGAAGTATGAGGGAGGGAGGCAAAGGGTGCGGCTGTACGCACGCAAGTGTGTGTGTTTGTGTGCGTGCGTTACCGCATTGACCAGAGATGAGAAGAATGACGGACAGTCGATGCACCGCTGGACGGTGCGGGATGCCACAAAACAAACAGACAAACAAAAACAAAAAAGAATTTATCTTCTGAGCCAGTTTTCCTCTGGGCACTGTAGAAAGGGACAGATCTGAGGGCAGGGAACAGATGCTCAACAGTTGCAGCTGAGGCTGCAAGTGTGGAATATTCTGGCCAATTGACAGGTAGTAACAAACAGAGACAGGAAGACTTATCTCCATGATGCCAAGAAAGAGGGCAGGTTGGTTTTTTTCTTCTCACTGAATTGTCTTTCTATCTGAGGCACATGACACATGGTGGATGACGGTGACATGGCTTTAAGGGAAGGGGCAGAAGTTTAGCTGAACTTGATGCATTAGAAAATAACCTTGAAAACAGCAACAAGTTCCAGTGAAATCAGTGCAAGGTAGCACATCTACAGACCAAAATCACCTGAAACTTGCTTCAGTACAGTGTGAGGACTGCCTGGTATAGACAGAGCAGAAAAAGGTGAGAGGTCCTAGTACTGCTGAGATAGTAACGGCCTTAGTAATGTCAGGAACATTTGAGGATTCAGTCAAAGCTACATGGCATGGTTCTCAAACTCTAGCGTGCATCAGAATGCTTGGAGGGCTTACTAAAACTCACATTGCTGGGCCTCATACCCTGAGCTTTACACAGTAAAGCTAGGGTGACTGCATTTTTAACATGTTCCCAAGAGACGCTGGTGCTGCTGGTGGGGGCCCATCCTTAAAGAACCACCGCTATCCAGTAACCCGAAGCAGAGCGTCATTCTGCTCCATTTAGTAGATTATTGTATCCTCAATCTGATGACTAGATTTGAAAAGGTATGCGGAGAAATGGGAAATGATATGGAAATGATACGGAAAAAGGGATCAAGAAATGGTCAAAAGGATATAAAATAAAATCAGAAACATAAGACATAAATAATTGAGAGTTTTATTTTAAGAAGAGAACAATACTGTTTAATGGATATTTTCAATATATCAATGTTGACTGAAATTGGGAGGTTCTCTGTACCTCCAGGGGTTTGGCCAAGACAAAAATAGAATTACAATATAATAAGAAAGATCAAGATTTGGAATTTCAAAACACTGCAAGGCATTGAGAGAAAGTATTCGGTTTCCAAAGAGATCTTGACTTAGATGATTTTGATTTGATATAGAATACTCTACTCCATATGTTTTCTTCAAATTATTAGGTTCTATAGAATCCCAGAACAAACTTGTTCATGTTTCAAAAGGATCTGGGAAGGAGTAAGGATAGTTGGATCAGAACCAATTTTCCATTAGGTTTTATCCCAGTAACCACATATATCTGTAAAAGACAGGCCTTCATCTCTCCTTATGTGAAAGGTTTGTATTTTCACCAACTCAAATAAAAATTCTGTAGATTCAAAATGTGATTTTTAGTGAGAAATGCAAATCCAAGCCATACAGAGAATTCCGTAAGATGCTATTTTGCCTTTTAAAATATTCCATTTGTAACTGTGTGTTCAAATACTCGCTACCAAGGGAATCTGTGCCCTAGCGGCTAAGTATGTCCCAAACTTATTTTCAGTTGAAATTTGTTCACTTGTGCTTGATGCTAGTATTTGAATTTTTTATGATTAAAAAATTCATAGCTGTTTTCTGTAAATATGTTATACAGTGGACATATATAAGTTACATATTAAAATCCACTTTATGTGCTTTAACATGTTTCTGTTGGATTAAAAAAAGTTCTCACCTCCTTAGGCAGAAAGGAAGCACAGTACCTGGGACCAGGGTAACTATTAACATTAATAGTATTTTTGATGCTGAAAAAAAAAAAGGTTACAGATAAGTGTCAAAGGAAGGTGAGCTATTTTAAAATTTCTCTGATGTACCTGTCTAGAAAGGTTGCTTTGGAGTAAGTTAAGTCGAATTTGAGAACTCAGAGAACAAAGGTTTTCATCTCAATCATCTCAAGATGAATTCACGAAGACACGTGCAGCTCCCAAACCCAAACCACTCATGTCCCAAAGATAACTGTCCTTGGAGAAAGGGAGGTGAAAGCCTTCATTGCCAGGTATGCACACACACACCTATAGAAACACATTGCATCTACATAAAGCTTCTGAAAGAACTAACTTAAGATAATCATCATTAGGATTTTTAAAAGTTAGATCATTAACAAGGGAAAAATACATTTATGCATCTTTATCAGACACTGAGAAGCTGTAGGAACAGTTCAAAGTTCATCTCCTTTGAATACAGACGAGTAATTAACCTCTAACAAAAATAAACACTTTAAATATATATTATTTATATGGTACATTTACATTTAAAGAATGCTGAAAGTGTGACACTTATCCTTGCAAATCAGCATTGTCTATAGACAGTCAGCATCAACATCCCCGGAGCTTGTTGGAAATTTAGCCATGCCCCAGACTGACTGAAGCCGAGTTTGCATTTTAACAATATTCTCAGGTGATCTGTATACGCTTCAGATATTTAAAGTTTAAGGAGCCCTAGCCAAAATTACCGATACCTTTCTCTGTAATTTTTTTAGAAGACAGATTTGTGAATTCAAGCCGTGGTGTATAAAACGATTAGTTCATGATTCTTAAAATTCTAAACAGACTTAGAGGTACTAACCATATATGAAGACACTCAATAATTATGACAAATTTTAAAGGGGACAATAAGGCAATCTTTTCCTTTATTATACTAGGCATACAATCAACATAGAAACTTAAACATTATTCAAAATCACAACATAGTAGTCACTTAATTAATATGAATTTTAAATCTGAAATGGCAAGTCATCCTAACTTCATATTATCATATATTAGTATAAAATAAATTATTATTTTAATAATGGATTAAGCATTTTTTCAAAAAAAAAAAAAAGCCTAAGAAATCTCCACAATATTTTTATTGGCACTAAGTATATCTCTATTCCTCATCTGTTCTTTTCAACTTCTTGTTTCAATCCTATTTTAAATCCTGGGGGAATCTAAGACTATTTCTGCATGGCCAAGTCAACCAAAGAGTCCACCCCTCCTGAACCTGGCTCCTTAATTTAGGCTCCCAGGCAAGGAAGTGCTCTACCTCCCTTCTTCCCACCCGCCAGGTACTAGGAGGGAGGTGGTCCCCTTAACCTTTAAAAACAAACTTCACTAATACAAAGAAATAAAGAGGTAAGGGAATAAAAGGAAACCAAACCCTAGCTAGTTATGACCTAGATGACTAGTTTTGACTGATTCAGGATTCTGGTAAAGTAATGAAACTGTCCTAGTTACAAGGATAACTCTTTCTGCTGGAAAAACATCAATTCCTTGGTAGCTAGAAATTTTAATGATGTGGAGAAAAAGATTACCTGCTACCTCAGGACTGTTGGAAATGTGTCAGTTTTCCATGAGGTCTTTGGTCCTGTTGCAACGTTAACATTATTGGGTATATGTATGAACAAATACATACATAGACACAGGTACACTGAGATATGTGCACGCTTAAAAATAATTAGCTCCATAGGAAAGAGAAACCTTGGAGAAAACCACATAAATATCCGTCTTATTTTCACAATTTAAACAGTAAGGGCATGTTATTAGTTGAGTTGAAAAATCTCTTAGCTGAAACTAGATGTTTTAAAAACATGGGTCAAAAGCAACCACTTAACTAGTGTAATTTGAAACAGGAAGTTTTGTGTCTTTCTTTTTTCTGAGATGGAGTCTTGCTCTGTCACCCACGCTGGAGTGCAGTGGTGCGATCTCGGGTCACTGCTACTTCCGCCTCCTGGCTTCAAACAATTCTCCTGCCTCAGCCTCCCAAGTAGCTGGGATTACAGGTGTCTGCCACCATGCCTGTCTAATTTTATTTTTAGTAGAGACAGGGTTTCATCCTATTGGCCAGCCTGGTTTCTAACTCCTGACCGGAGGTGATCCACCTGCCTTGGCCTCCCAAAGTGCTGGGATTACAGGTGTGAGCCACCTCACCAGGCCAAGTTTTATTTCTTAAATGTAGAGCCAAACTCTGTGACAGGAACATGTTACAATTCAGTTTCTTCAGCCCTGGTATCCACTGACGGATGAAAGCTTGCAAGGTCCAGGGAAGGAGAAAGACTTAGATTTTGGCAAACGTGGCTTCAGACTCTGACTCTTCCCTTGTGCTTTGTGGCCTTGGACAAATTTTTTATCCTCTCCTCTCTTAGTCTTAGTTTTCTCACCTATAGACATAGTATTTTTGTGATTATAGTAAAACACCGAGCATGGGGCCTGGCACACATGTGGTCAAAACAAGTACATATTATTCTCATTGTAACTCTTACTATTGGAAATCTGCAAATGGAGCCACTCTTTCTATAAAATCATCATTTATTCCTCTAAAACCTCACCATGGATGTTTTCCAGCCCCTGTCAAAACCAACTTACCTTTGTCAAGTCTCCCATGGTGATGCTATTCAATTTTAATTAATTAAAAATAAACAGACTCATCATATTCAATCTACCAACTCCATCAGATGTTCAAAAGAAATATTTTAAAGGCATCAGTTTTATTACATTGATCATACAGTGATATGTATTGAAAATTCTTTCCCACTTCTTAAGTATTTCAGTCCCTCTCCTGCTTCCATAAGTAACCTCAGGGAGGAGACACAGATTCAAGTAGAGGATTTATTCACACATGTGCGACATTAGAAGAGGCTCTGGAGAGAAGGCATCAGCATGCAGTCTCCCAGAGTGGTCCCGAGACCACCCTAGGCATCACATCTGGGACAAACCAATAAGGTTAACTTATTACAAATGATTCCCCAATGACCCTGAAATACTGCTTTTGCTGCCATCTGAATGGGCTAAGTTGATGTGCTGCCAAGAATTTTTTCCACTGATTATGTAGACATAACTATAAATCCATTGCAAATGGAGGGAAGGTATTTGTGTCTACATTTGTCTGCATGAACAAAAATGAAAACTGAGACACATTGATTTTTACAATGTGTTTAAAGTGAATTCTTCTTTGCAATTTCCTGATCACATTCTTGCTCTCTGAAAACAGGCAATATGACTTTTCTTTTGTATAAATTGGTTTTTGGTGAAAAGAAGTTAAAAGATTTCAAACTTAACTTTTCATCAACAGCTGATGGTCATTCTGTTTAGGACCTTATAGGATATAGCTGGTATATATCACAGTCATAGATGGACACTGTGCAATCACAAACAAATCTAATCATTAAAATAGGGGACTGCCTGTTTCAAATGCATTATGTACCACAGACAGTATGAAACCAGAAAAACTTGGTCTATGATATTTATTCTTTTTGTCTCAATCAAGAATAACTATCAATATATTCTTAGAGGAAAGGTGAGGCTTTCTTGTTTCATGATAATGTCACATTAGTTTATTTTTTCAGAATATATTAAAATAAATTTAATCTACTTTTAATAGCTATTATTAATATTTTTTCCTTTTGTTTTCTGAAAACAATCAGACAATAGCTTAAGAAACAACAATGTGGATCTAATGAATCCCACTTCATATGAAAACCAAAACCTATTTCAGGATTCATTTTAGAAAGTACATATTGAAAAACTATATTGAAAAATGACCTCTTGGAATCTAGATTTACATGGCAACATTTGAAACTAGTGGCCTAGCTAACACAGTCAACCATGCAGAAGGAGCTGCAACATTTATAGAAATACCAAAGGAATTCTTGTGAACAGTAACTGCCAAAAGGAAAGAAACAATGAATAACAATGGGTTCATGGTTTCAATGCCAGTGACATTACTGAGTTCATGTTAGCAAAATCAGGTCCCTTCCAGACACAATTATGTAAAATATTTGTATTGGATTGAAAGGGGTTGTATTCTGTTACATACATGCAACATTAAAAAATCTACCATCAGGTAAAAAAAGAACGGTCTGGAAAAAAGTAACTCTTTCTCAATTTTCCTCAATCACTCAGATTTATCTTAAAGTCCAGGCAAAAACTCCGAAACTCATTTACTTCTTATAACATTGTGGCCATATCATATCCCTTCCTTCCTTTCCTACCCCCAATCAGCCCTTTAAACAAAATATAAAAGGAAAGCCCTGTCCCCAAGCAAAACAAAAGAAGATTGCGTGAAGAGCTCGACAATTTTTTTTGATGGTGAAAACACTGGTAACGTTATTTTCACTTCCATCACTAACTCATCTAAACGATGTCATTGCTTCACCAATGCTAAGTGCTCCTGTGGCTTGACAGGGAATCCAGTGCAAGGAATCCAAGGGAAACAGCTCAAGCCTTGGCCAGGCAGTGGAAGTGCTTGGTAAATGCAGAGTCCTCTGGGTGCAAGCGTGCTACACATCGCTGGGCGAGCGCGCTCTTTGGGCGAGACTGGATGGGATGCAGCCGCAGCAAATGAGACAGAGCGCTTTCTGGATCTCTTGGTTTCTGAAAGCATATATGACAGGGTTGATGATGGAATTGTAGGTGGCGGGCAGGAGGGTGGCGTAGGTGTAGATGGAGGGGTAGGTGTAATCTGCTATCAAGGAATAGAGGGTGAAAGGCATCCAGCAAGCAGCAAAGGTCCCCAGGATGATAGCCAGGGTGGAGACCCCTTTCCGGGTGGTCACGTAGTGCGACGTGGCCAGGAAGTGGTGCTGCAGGGCTATCTGATGGGCGTGCCTCATCACAATCTTACAGATCTGGATGTAGAGCTGAAGCATGAGCGCGAACATGAAGAGGAAGGACACCGATAGGATGGCCGCGTTGTTCTTGGTGAGCGGTCTGACCACGCTGCAGGTGGACTCGTCTCGGAGGCAGTTCCAGCCCATGACGGGCAGCAGCCCCAGGCAGATGGAGGTCCCCCAGAGCATGATGAGCATGACATAGGTAAACGTGACCGTCCTCTCCGAATGGTACGTCAGAGCGTAGTATAGTGAGAGGTAGCGGTCAACAGTGATAGCCAGCAAGCTGCAGACAGAGGCAGAGAAAGAGGCGACAATGAGGCCGATCGTGACCAGCTTGGTGGCTTCTGACTGAAGCAAGTAGGCAAAAACAAAATTGATGATGAGTCCAATGCCGGCCAGCAGGTCTGCAAGAGCCAGGCTGCCTATCAGCAGGAACATGGGCGCTCGCAGGCTGGGGTTGTGGAAGATGATAAGGACCACAATGGCATTTTCACAGGAGATGAGGGTTCCTGAGGTACACAAGACAATGTCCCAGGGGTTGACTACGAGCTCAGGCTCTGGCTCTACGACAGGAACCCGGGAGGAGACAGCAGCCGAGATGTTCTCCGCAGCAGCGGCATCTAAATAATCCCGAGGCAGCCCGCTTAAATTGACCTTCAGGTCTTCATTCATTTTAACCCCTGTCCTCTTCAACGAAAAGACAGGCTTTTTAATGTTTAGATACAGCAGGGTGACAATCCAAGATCATGCAAAAAACACACAGACAAACAGAAAGCCAGCCACTACTCAGATGCCAGTACCGAATGCCACAAGCTTCGGGAATGAGGAACTGCTGTGAAATGAAACAAAAGCCAAAGTCTCGGTGGTTTAAACCCCACAACAAAAACGCCGTTTGGCATCGGAGAAAACACAGGGTAGGACTTCAAAACACCAGCGTGAGCGAGGCAGGCACACACGGACTAGCGGCGGTCTGTTTGCAAAAGCGCCGGGAATGCACATTGGAAAATCACATCTCGCATGCTGAAAACGAACAACTGTTTGACATCTGGGCTGCTGCTGAGAAAACCACGCGGCAGCGGCAGGTCGCGAGCCGGGGGCCGCCATCCTCGATGGAATATTTAAATCACCAATTTCCATCGTACTCCCACCCTCCAAACACGTCCCACGCGCGCGTGCACACCCTCAAAGACACCCCGACCCGAACAAAGAGGGGTTCCCAGACTCCACCGTGCGCACGGGGCAGTCGGGAGGGCCACAAAAGAGAGGTCTGTGAAATGGAAGTGCCGAGACAGACAGACAGACAGATGCCCATGCACTGCTGCCACTCCCCTGGCGGCGGAAACGGGAGTCGGAGGCGAGGGGCACAGACAGGGTGCGGGGACTGGGGGCCCGCGGGGGCGGGGGGTCATCGAGGGGGTCACCTTGGCGCGCCCAGGCCGAGGGGGTCTCCTCCGGTGCTTCCGAAGCGCGCGGGCTACTCGTGTCGCATGTCGGCGCCGGTGCCCGCGGTGGGAAGGGGCGGCGGCCGGGCTCGGGAGCGGGCCGGGAGGGCGCTGAACGCCCGCTCCGCGGCAGGTAAGCGGCGCGGCTGCAGGTGAGCAGCAGGCTCCGCTCGCGCGCCCGGCTCTCCCCGCCGCGCCCGCCCGGCCCACACGCTCCCTGCGCGCGCGCCTCCCCCGCCCCGCGCGCGCCCGCCCGCAGGAGCCCCGGGAGGCTGCGCGCGCCCCCACAGGTCGGGGCTGCGCTAGGGCGAGGGCAGGCGAGGGCAGGCGAGGGCAGCCCCGGGGCGGGCGCGGGCGAGAGAGCCCAGAGGCTGAGAACTGCACGGTCGCCTTGCCTGCGTGCGCCGCCGCGCGCCCCACCCCAGCCGGCAGCCCCGGGCTTGCACCGGGCGGGGCAGGGGAGCGCTGCCTGGGAGCCCCGTGACCTATTTCGTTCCTGTGGTTTCCCTGGGGAGTTCCAGTCTTCAGGGTCCTGGCTGCTCCACACCTTCACCTAAACCGCTACATTCAGGGCCAAAAGAATTGCTTAGAGTAGTATTCACGATCAGCAGCAGCGATGCGGGGTGGGCAGGTTAGGGGAGCAGATCTTTAAAAGAACAAAATGCCCCGCACACTTTTTTAGGATTGCCCATGATCCTGGACCTGGTTCATGATCACTGTTCCCCGGGAATCTCTGCTTAACTGGATAGATGCTGCTGCTAGGTGGACCATCACTATTATCACCAAACTGCACTTACTAAGTGCTCTTTGAGCTGTGTTTTCAAATGGAAATCATTTACTGAGTTCTTGTAGATGCTTCCTGCAGACGCTGGCCAAACCCCAATTCATTTAGATACTGAAGTGACACTATTAATTTATTTTTTTCATTTTGCCACTTCGGTGGGATTCTAAGATGAAGAACCTGATAGCTGTCTGCTCTTATGAGTCCATGTCTTCTCTGGATATAAAATCCAGAGCTCCTCGTAGAACTTAAGTTCAAAGATGATCCCCCAGTTTAAAGATGGGAGAAGGAAAAAGTGTGATAGTCTTGTCTTGCTCTGTCAGAGGTGAAGGTTTTCCCACAGCCTTTCTTCCACTTGCCCAGGCGCTTCTGTATGAATGGAGATGGCCAGCAGGCAAGGGACCCTACAGGGGCATCATCAGCTGACCAGCCTGTCTCCCCCGGTGCTCACATCATCTCTATCCCAGCCCAATGGATTCGAAGCGTCAATCGCGTTTGACTTTCTTCCTGCTTTTCCTCCCCTTTTTCCATCATTCAGTTTCTGGCTCTGCAAGGTCACTCCACCTCTCCCTGCATGCCACTTCTCACCATCCTCAGCTCTCTGGCTGAGGCCCTCATCCCCTCTCACCTGCATTTCTGGTGCCCACCTGCCTCTCCTTTTCCCAGCTTCCTTTATTTGGCACATCTATTCCATGATGTCCAAGACCTCCTGCTGCCTCCAGACTAGTCTGAACTTTTTACCTGGACAGATTCTGCTCAGTAGTCTGGGGTGGGGCCCAGCTTTTGCATTTGTAAGCCTCTTCCCCAGTCCTACTGCTGCTGCTACTGCTGCTGCGGGTTCACAGATCATACTTGGAGAAGTAAGGTTCCATGGAGTTTTCAGAGTGAATTGTTCATGGTGCGGAGACATCAGACTCCTGTGTGTCCCAAGAACCTGGCTAAGGGCTGGACATACAAATTCAGTGAGACACGGTCTCTGCTCACAAGTGTGCACAGTCTGGTAGTGACACACACAAACATGAACAATAATGGCAGGCAGCAAATGCTTTCATGAGGGTATGTCATCTCAATTTCTGTGTGATGAATCAAAGAGTTTTAGAACGAAGCAATGAGAAATGAATAGTCTTTTCCCAAACATGTAGTAGTTTTGGCAAATATAGCTTGACCCATGTGGTAAAATTTTAGGCATCTCACTCTGGCAATGCAGTTTAGGGGAAGCGAATGCATGGGGCTGGCCAGACACTATACTAGCCAATAATACTGACATGGCCCTGATCTCACAGAGCTTAAAGGGGTGGGGTTCTTTTATTCAGTCGTTAATGTGTTTGAGAAGTTTTTTTAAAAAGATACTGGGGTCCGTTGGGGAGAAATGAGAGAGGGACGGGGGGGTGGGGAGGTGGGAAGAGACAGCATGGGGAGAAATGACAGATACAGGTGAGGGGAAGGAAGGCAGCAAACCCCACTGCCATGTGTGTACCTATGCAACAATCTTGCATGTTCTTCACATGTACCCCAAAACCTAAAATGCAATTAAAAAAAAAAAGAAGAAGAAGTGAGTATTGGAGGAGAGAAAAAGATATTGAGATGAATGGCAGAATATACAAATTTTTGTGAAAACAAAATTGTAAAACCTGGGAAGAGTCAAAGGAGGAAATTGAGGCAAATTACATCTGGGGCTTGGATACTGTCTCTGGGGAAAGCCTGGGAGTCAACGGCTAATAGCGATGTGGATGCCCAGCTCCTCTGATGGGAAGATCAACTCTACGTTCACACTTCTGTCCTCACTGTCCCTTGGAATGATTACATGTAACTTCCCTGTACTCCTGATTCTGTTTATTGGTTTATTTCTTAGGACTTTTGTTGCCAGGGAGCAGAAATCCAATTCAAACTAGTTTAAGAAAAAAGAGGCATTTTGTTGTCTGGCATGACTAGGAAAGATCTGGAGTGGTTCACATAAAAGAAGGAGAAGCTGCAGGAAGCAGGTGCCTGGCAGTCAGCCCTGCCCTGATTTATTTCTGCTTGTCTTTGCTTCTCTGTGTCTCTGCCTCAAACTTCCCTATCCCAGACAAGTTTCTTGCAGGCAGCCATGGAAAGTGGCCTCAGGCAGTCCTGAGCTCGCATCCTGAGACTGTATTCTTGTGAATGGAATTCCCATTGAGAACCCGGGCCCAGCCTGGGCTGTGCACCCTGTCCCCAACCGACCATGGCAGCTAAAGGAAGAGTTGGCCAGGCCTGGATCTCGTGTGGAGTCCTGTGATAGGTGTCCCCTCTGAACTTCACCAAATGGGCATTTCTGAGAGGAAACGTGAGTCGGGACACCAGGCAGACCAGCTCCAGGTCTGGAGGTCAGGATTCACTACAGCTTGGAATTGGGTGGGCCTATGGGGAGGTTTTGCACAGCCTCAGTAACAAGGGCCATAAAGTAGCTGTCTGCAAAGCTGTCTTCTTGATGTATTCACCGTCCATGACAGGACACTGCCACAGATGCCCTCAGGGTGTGACGTTTATTGCCTTTTCATCACTTACCTGTTTTGTCACTTTTTTTTACAACTTCGGCAAGAAGTTGTAAACCTTCCAGCCTGATCCGGCATTTTCACAGCCTATACTAATGATGACTGTTTTATGTGAGAAGGGTTTGGTGCCTGTCTTAATCATGCATGGCATCTTTGCCAACTTAAACCCTGAGGGCACATATATTAGCCCCTTCTTGTAACTGAATTTGTAAATCATGAGACTGTCCCAGACTGCTGGCTGGAGCAAGTCATAAACTGAGCCAGTACTGCACAGTACAAGGTGTCTGTATGGAAATTTTGCTAGTCAATTTCTTTCTTGCTTATATTAATGATTATTAGCCAAGTTCCATAGATCTGATTCACTGGCACACTAATCTGAACCATAGATTGATCATGCTTCAGTCTGTTCAGCCAAGGGTCTATATCACACCTAAGAATAAAATATAATCCCACATTAAAGTTTGCTTTTATTGATTTCTTCATCTAATAGTAAATTTTATGACTGTATAACCTAAATATAGCCAAGTGCTTATTTCACAAGTGCGCTACAGTATGATGAAGATATATCAGATAGATATATCTATATACCCACTATCCCTCTTGAGAAATAAAACATTACCAGTACCCCAAAGCCTTCCTCTTGGCCACTCCCAATAATTGTCCTCTGAAAAGAAACCACTATTCTGAATTCTAATACCACAGATTAGGTTTGTCTGGTTTTGAACGCTATATGAATGGAATCACATAGTATGCACAGTTTTGTTTCTGGCTTCTTTCACTCCACAAGTCTGTGAGACATACTCATTTGTTGCAAGGAGCAGTAGTTTAATCTTTTTAATTGCTGTATAGAACTTCTATTGTAAGATTATTGTCTTAGTTCACTCAGGTTGCTATAACAAATTACATCAGACTGGGTAATTTATAAGCCATAGAAATTTACTGCTCAAAGTTCTGGAAACCGGGAAGTTCAAGATTATGGTGCCAGCAGATTCAGTGTCTGGTGAGGGTCCATTCCTTCTAGATGGTACCTTCTTCCTGTGTCTTCGCTGGCGGAAGGAGCAAACAAGCTCCCACGGCACTCAATTCTGTTCAAGAGGACAGAGTTCTCAAGACTGAATCACTTCCCCCAACCCCGGTTCTCAATACTATTGCACTGGGGATTAAGTTTCAACATAGACAGTTTGGGGGGATACATTCAGACCACAGCAGGCAGGGATGGTTCTGCTCCCTCTCAGATGTTCATCCACCCTTTTCTCTTCTCCCAGCATCTTTCACCCCATCCTTTCACCAACTCCACCAACTGCCTCTTGGTCATTATGGCGGGCTGGATAATGACCCCCCAAAATATCCAGGGCCTACATCCAGGAACCCGGGACTATTACCTTTGTTCAAATGCACTTTGCAAAAGTGATTAGATGTCTTGAGATGGGAGGACATTCTGGATTATCCACAAAGGTCCTTTTAAGAGAGGGGCAGGAGGATTAGGATCAGTAGTAAGAGAGGTGAAGACAGAAGCGGAGGGAGAAAGTCAGAGAGAAGGGAAGATGCTGTATCGCCTGCTGTGAAGACACAGCAGGGACTGGGAGCCACAGGATGTTGGCAGCCTCCAGAAACTGGGAAGATCAAGGGGATTCCTCCCTGGATTTCAAGAAGTAATGCTGGTCTGTGGGCGCGCCATAGACTTCTGACCTCCAGAACAAATGTGTGGGTTTTTTTAAATTGACACATGACTATTAAATGAAGTCCGTAGTTTTCATAAGGGTTCACCCTGGTCTTGTCTATTCTATGGGTTTTGACATCTCTGTAATGACATGTATCCACCATCATACTATCACACAGAGTGGCTTCCCTGCCCTAAAATCCTCTGTGCTCTGCCTGTTCATCCCTCCCTCCTCAATCCCCAGC